TCACACAAAACCAACAAAGAGATTAAAATGATTGTTAGCTTGTGAATGATGACACCATCAACATGAAGTTTTCATAAAGTGAAAGTTTTAGCCTTTGAGCTCTGAAGAGATGATGAACTGTGGAATTACCTTAGTTAAACTCCTGTAGCAGGAGGAGGGTTCCCAGAGGTTTTATTTGTAGTGGCTATAGAGTTGAATGGCATTAATATATTTTCTGGGAGAAATATGGGCTTCCAGATAGTTATGCATGTAGGGTTAATTTGTAGGAGTTTATGCATGTATTCAAAACACTCCTGACTTGCCACTCACAGAGGTGAACCCCTTCAGCTGACTACAAGTTAGTTGTGATTCTGGTTAATGATGCTATTCAAAAACAAACATTAGTATCAGCAAGGAATTCTGAAACAGAAGAAAAAAAAAATCCCAAAAAACCCCCAAAACCAAAACAACCCAAAAAACCAAACTGCCTCTTCTAGGCAGAGATGTGATAGCTGATCTTCCCAGATCACTCTTTGTTCAATAATTGTCTCAAGCTTACTGTAACCTTCTGGATACAACAGAGGCATGTGAAACTCTGCTGAAGTGGGAGAAGAATGTTATCTTTACAGGAATGCACTTTATTGTCTTGTCCTGAGACAGATCCTTAACCCCCTTCTGAATACTGTTGTTTCTTCAAACCTGGCAAACTGCTTTAAAGCCTTCCTCGCAAACAGAGGGATCATTTTGTCTTAATGCCTAGATTACACAGAGGTATTCTGTATTCTAGAGCTTTTTATTCATAATTTTGTCAAGACTATAAGTTATTTCAAATTAATACAGATAACATTTATGTCCTATTGACTTCAAATGGCAGTAACCTAATTTATGAATCAAATGCATTTGTTCATATGCTTGCTTGACTAAACCTTTGAACAATTTTCGAAGTCACTAACACCTTTGTAAACACATTATTGTTTTTCAATGTTTGTACCTTGTTTTCAAATGAACAGTCATTTTTATAAACCCTATTTCGTAATGTAATTAGTACAGTAGGAGTTTTACATGGTTCATACTCCAGAAATTACATTCAGTGTTAGACAAACTGGTTCAGCTACCATTCATGCTGTGTTAGAGAAGTTGAATAGTGGCATGGCTCTCTCATTTTCCTTCTAAAGAACAGAGTCAATTGCTCTTATCATTTTCACATGGCTATGAATTTTCACTTCAGGAATGAAACAACTCTTTATAATTTAACATAGCCTGAAGTAAGAGTAGAGAGTAGAACATAGAAAGCAGTCCTCAGTCTATTTTGGAGGAAGCTTTACTTAAATTTTGGAACACTGATGTACTAATTAAAACAAATAATATCTTAATGCTGTCCGTAATCTGGTGTGTATCTTAAAGAATACAAATGAAAGAAAAGTGTTCAATGATAGCCTTTGTCTGCTGCAGTGTTAGCCACCTACATTGGGGTATACATTGATCTGTAATTCTAGTTTCTAAATATCTTCAGAAATTATGCAGCTCTTTCAGTGTTAGGTTGATTTTGTTGTTCAGAAATGTTGTCTTTCCAAATCTGTTCTATTCAAATCAGAAAAAAATATAAACAGTACCATCCACAGAGATCAGTGCAGCTGTTAATTTTTTAGAACATGGCATTCAAGTGAGTCTTTTCAATCAAGAATCCTTCCACTTTTAGTGATAGTTTCCTACACTGAGGATAGCAAGCTATTGTTGCGTGAACAGAACTACAGTTTTACCAGTGTTTTGGCTTATCTATCCCACAGTTTCATATTCTGTATAAACTCTTTATATCCAAAAGGTCTTTTAAAAATTGTATTGCTTTCTGCAACCAGCAATGGGACTCAAAGGGGATACCAAGCCAGCTGAGGCCTTATTCTTGTAATTCAAGAGCCCATGCAATATAATAACCTTCCAATCATATTTTATAGGTGAAACAATACAGGTTTACCATTTCCTCTTACTTGGACGTCATTTATCTGTTCACCACAGTCATGAAAGTGTGTTGCTCGTGTAGTTGCATGTCTAGCACTTTGGACAGGATTCATCTTAGTGTCCTAATGTGAAGGCATTAATTTTGAGGTAGTTGACTGTCTTCTCTTTTTTAGTCAACAGGTAAAAAAGTCCTCTTTGCAGTTGTGAGTCACCTCTTCCAAAATTAGGCAGCTAAAACAGGCTAGATGAAACCCCTCCTCGTTCATTAACTGGAATTGCCTGGGAATGTTTCTGCATCAATTTTAATTTAATTCTAAAGTCTCTGTGTAACCTACAGAAATTATAAGACTGCAGAACTTAGAGTAAAAAAGAAATTGATTGATATAAAAAACAGTAAAGGATGTATTTTGCCTAGTTTCTAGTATTTGCTTTCAAAATTGAGACAAAGTTGCACGTGAAAGGTATCTGTTCATAGAGATCCACAATACAGTCTTTGCATTTTTCTTCTGTATTGGTTACCATTTAGAAATGCTAATAAGTGAATGTATTGCTTATGTTAACAGTAGCCACATCATTCAAATGCACTTTAATGGGCCTTATCTCCTGGTAGCACACACTTTATTGCTTATGTGTAGTTGGCATTCTAGAAGGTGTCAATGTTCAAGAAATGGAAGTCTTGCTTCATTTCTGTGAGTGAATTGTGATTGCCATTCTCTGACAATAGTGTTGTTGCTAAAAATATTGCCGTGTTAGAATTTGTTAATTGAACCCTAATGTAGCCAATCCTCTTTGTGTTTAAAAATCAAAATGAAGGAAATGTAAGTCTTACTGTTGATTTCAAGAAGCTTTGGATAAGACTTTCTATTAATTTCATTGGGGTGTTTTTTTTCTGAAATGGGTAACATTTGAGTGTCAGATTTTTTTTCGGGTCAAGTCAAGCTACTCCACCTTTTTTAAAAAAAAAAAAAGTCATCATAATAATGTCTGCTTTATTTAATTATTTGTGATAGTGAGCATTTTTCATTGCTTCTCATTTTTTTTCCCAAATGAATTAGAAAATCAAAATGGCCACTACTGAATGACAGCAGATGTTTCTGATCACCAGAGATCATTTAATGTGATGTACTGAATTGAATTCTTGTTTTATTCTCATTTTGTTTTATATACAGGATGAATTTGAAAATCCAATTTCATCAAGGAAAACTGTAGCTAAAAAAAAAATTCATTTGTGCATGTCATTGCACATATATTTATTTGTGCAATCCCATTTATTGTTGTTATCACAGACTCATAAAGTCATGGATTGATAACAGGTTGGAAGAGAACTCTGGAGGTCATGTGGCTGAATACCCACACATGATGTCCTTATCTATGTACTCTGCTTTTTTTATCGTCACTGCCACCTTTCCAAGGGATATTATAGTTAGCAAGTACCTTCTCCAAATAATCACAGAAGCCAAAGAGAAATTGCCTCTTTTCTGGCACATGCTGCAGCAAGCAAATGGCTTGTCAGATGTATCTGCATGATTTTCCCTCAAACCAACCAACTTTAAAATGTCAGCCTTTGTAACAGGTTTTCCTCAGCTCTGTTGGGAAATTTCAACTCCCACAAGGTTTCAAAATTTCCATAAACAAATTCTCCTACTCTTACATTTCTTCTTCGCTCCTAGCTTACAAACAAGACCAACAGGTATCACTTATTTAACTGCTGATGTTTCTTTATTCATGACCCAGTCATTTGAGCTGATGAGAAATAAAGACATTCAACCTTTTTAACAAGGCAGTTTTAGAATGCTTTAACATTAAAAGACAAGTAGAAATAATAGCAATAAGGTAAAGTAACTACTCCTTATCCAAAAAGAGAGCATAGCAACAGAAGTGGTGATCTGAAAATTGTTAAAGAAGGCTCTGTTCTTATCTCATCCTCTTTAACACAATAATTTGGCATCAGCTGATGAATTAATTCTTAGTGGACAGGTGAGCAAATCAAAATTAGCATTCAAATTGGACCATTCTTGGATGTTTAAGTAAAAAGAATAAAGATAAAATGGTTGTGAAGACAGAATTATCTCTATATGCTCTGAGATCCCTAAAGGACAAGGTTAAAGCTCATTTGCAGGCTGATGTGAAGTATATTCTTACACTTTGATCAGTTTCCAGGACCAATAATTTTAGATTCCTTATCAGTATAAAATTCACTGGAACAAGTTACAAAGAGCGGCTTCACTCTCATTCATACAGAAATCCTCCTTAAAGAACTCAGCCTAAATAGGTTTGAATGTAATTTATGTGCACTGCAAGGCTCTCCACGGTGCCAAGATAGTGTGAGGAGCCCTTTGTAAAAATAAAGCATGAGCCCATGGTGGCTTAGAGTTACAGCGCATACCCATGTGGATTCCTCTTTTGAATACATGCACGTGTGTGTTTATTATCTTGCATGTTTTGAGTTTAGTTGATGTATATTATATGATGAGAAATTAGGAACGGATTGGTAGGTTTGATAATGAATCCATGTGGTCTCCAGAAGCACTCCTTACATTAACTTCCTTTTTTTTTTTTTTTTCCTTAGAATGCCTTATTCTAACACTCACACTGAGATTTTTGCCATGCTGCCTCTATAGGTTGCTAGTCAGCAAAGGTTTACTCCCAAATTGTTAGCTCTATTCTGCATGCTGAGACTCTTTCAGATATCCTCAGTGGTTTGAATCTTCTTGCTGAGGGCTTTCCTTGCTTGAGAGCAACTGCTTCCCAAGGTCACTGGCTCTCTGTGGATCAGCCCTTTATTTCTGGTGTGCGCAAATCTTCTTTTTTTATACTTCAAGAAGTCCTGCAGCAATCGAACCATGGTCTTGATTGCAACAAGCTTTGTGCACTTGTCTCTTACTCTATGCTGCGTGGTGCCAGTTATGTATAATAATGTTTATATGGAAAGTGATCTTAAAAATCTTAAAAAGGCATAAGGTCAAAAATATTTGTATGTACCAAGGCTAGTGAAAGAGATGTTAAAAAGACTCAAAGACATTAAAACTGGTGGGTTTTTTTTTTTTGTTTTGTTTTTTTTTTAGGGCAGGTTCTGCATGTGCTGGAGAAACATAATCTGAGTGATAAAACTCTTGTATACTTTACATCTGACCAAGGGGCTCATGTGGAAGAAATCTCCAGTTTTGGAGAAGTCCATGGAGGATACAATGGCATATATAAAGGTGAACACAC